TGAGGACTCAGAGGCTTCCAGTTTGAGGAAACAGGATCAGCTGAGAAGTTGGCAAGGTGAGGTTGGCTGTGGCTTGTTCTGTTTCTCTGATCTTTCAGCATTCACCCCAATACCTGGCTCCGGGTTTGTTTTTATTAATAAGACCTTTTAAGATTCATGCTACAATAGCAATGGGACTTGCTATTAATTAAGTTTAAAATAATTAAGTTTGTATATCTATATTTTTATTTTGGTGTGTGTGTATTATATTTGAGTGTGCACATAGAGATCGGAGGAGAATATCATGTATCTGATGAATATCAGGTGCCTGATTTATCACAAACTATTTTATTCCCCTGAGACAGAGTCTTTCTTTGAACATGGAGGAAGGCTGGCAGCAGCAAGCCCCAGAAACCTTCCCATTTCTATCTGCTTTCCCCACAGCATTAGTGTTACAGCTATGCATGGATGCATGGACACACCCAGATTTTATAAGCATTCTAGAGATTTGAACCCAAGTCCTCACACTTGTGCAGCCAGTGTTCTTATCCAATGACTCATGTCCCCAGCCCCCAAATTTACATTCTTATTGTTGGTAGCAGGAGTATATAAACTGTCCTACAAAATTACACAGCAATAGGCTTCTAAGTCCATGAAACCAGTCATATTCTGATATTCACTTGTTCTCTTTCAGTAGAGGAAGCCAAAGGAAAGAACACCCAATAAAAGTCTACAGACTGGAAAACTAGAATATATATTTCTTACAGATCCAATTCAGTGTTTATGCAGATGCTTAAAAGTGTATATTATGCATCAACAACAAAGGAATAAAGGTATGAAAACAATATATACATATATACATATACATATATATATATTAGAGAGAGAAACATATATCACAGTGGTTGATGTGTAGATGTCCACATATGCAGAATAAAACATAATATGAACGACATGGAATTAATTACTTTAGGTATTCTAGGTTGGATGAGTTTGGTAATATACCTTTTTAAAACTTTTTATATTTCAAGTTTACAATTATGAGGGAGAAAGTAGCTAAATTAATTTATCTTTGTCCAAAGATGGCTTTGGGTTTGTTCCAAAGAAAAGACATTATATTTGTTATGTATAAAAGTACCCAAATAGGCCATGAGCACAAGGACCATCCTTAAAAAACTGGAGCAAATAATCATGAGTCTGAGTCACACCGTGAAGAAAGTTGCATAGTTATTGGGAAATATGGGGAAAACTGAAGGATTAGCATGGAGAGAGAGTTCATTAGAGTTGACCACAATGCCACATAAAGGTTCTAGCCAATCAGGAAATACACAGCCCTGTTTCACTTTTTGAGTTCTCTTTGCTCACTTTGAAAGCTATTTTGGCTTTTAAATTGGGTTGCTTGTTTTCTTGGGGTTTAGGGTTTTTAGGTCTTTGTATGTTCTAGACACCAATCCTCTTGCCAGATATATAGCTAAGAAATATTTGTCTCCCATTCTATAGGATGTGAGGGGTTGGATCTCGAGGAGTAGAAGGTGAATATGGTCAAAATACATTGTATACATGTATAACATTCTCAAACAATTAATGAAAACATTCCATTGTTAAGAGATATGATTTAACTAACACTAATCATTACTGTATATGGACAAATATCTTGTGTGTGTTTCTGAATATAAAACCATTTGCTAAAACCATTAGCAATGTCTATGTGATCTGCACATGTGTCTAGCATCTTGCTGCATCATGTAAGAGCCTTCATCATCTGGCTGTGGTCAGGCACTCTATCCATCTTGCCCTATGGAGAGCTGTGGTTTTATCCCTGAGAATTTCCTTCAGTTTGCTGATTAACCCAGCCTTCCAGGCCATTACATACACTAGAAAACCTTCCTAGAACCTGCTGCCTTAGAAATCCTGCTCATGTTACATCAAGCCTCTCTCCTCCTCCTTCCCAATTCCTACCCCTTCCTCTGCTTCCTCTTTTCCTCTCTCCTCCTCCTCTTCCTTCCATTTCCTTGTTTTCTTCCTTCATCATCCTTTTCTGGGCTACTGGGGATCAAACCCAGGGTCTTGGGAATACTAGGCTAGCACAGTAACATGAGATACACCCCCAGCTTAGGCCTTGCTTCTTTCCCCTCTATACCCCCAAAGTCTCTTACAATACCATTGAAGTTGTGAGGGCCTCAAAACAAAAGGCAAGCAGACAGTACAGAATTCAGTTATTTATGACCTAGAATAGATGATAGCAAGTCTGCTTCATAATTTTCCTTTTGAATCCTCAGTGTGCATTCACCCACTTACACAACCATGAATGCATATATGCATGTGCACACCCACACATGTCAGATCTTGGTGCAGGTGAGTTCCACATCTGCAGAGTCAACACACCAAGAGTTAGAAGTCTTTTTGCAATAGTTTTGTCTCCTGGACATTTTTCTGGACATTATCCATAGACAATACCGTGTATCATTTTTTGCATAGTATTTGCATTTTGTTAGGAAGTAAAATCAGTCTGGAGATGATATAAAGTATGAGGAAGGATTGTCTAGGTTACATTTAAAAACAATGAGAATTTACAGGAGATACTTAAGAATTTTCAGCTTTTGGTATCTGTGAGGGTCCCAGAACCAATCAGCAATAGATACTGAAATATAAATATGAATGCACACACATATTTCATGAATTTTTAAACACATACATAACATATGTGATATGATTATACACATTATATATATGTATGTGTATTGTATATATATGTATATATATACTGTAAACATGTATACACATATGCAAACATGCATTAGGTACACATAATCTCCGTTTCACAGAAAGTAAACGAATATTGCAAGGTGAGAGGCCTTAGTCAAATTTAACAATGAGGAGATAGGCTCCACACATGAGAGCAAACATACAGTATTTGTCTGGATATTAGCTTAATGTGCTGTCTTTCAACTTTCTCTATTATTTTTACAAATTTCATAATTTCATTTTCCTTTGTGGTTGACTAAAACTCCATTGTGTATATATACCCACACTCTCATACTAAATCCACCCACCATCCCACATTAGGGAAAGCCCTAAGATTCCATCAGTAACTTCTGTCTCTAGTTCCAACTTCCTGAAACCTCTGATGAACTCTGAAGGAAAATGAGGGTGACAAAGTCTTACCTGTACTAACCAGGGTGCTGTTGTTGTACAGAGTCCCCAAGTGAGGCCCAGACAGTGACAGGAATGTGTGGAGTTTGTTGAGGTAATACCGGAACCGGGGCCTTGTGAGGACCGATCTGATGATAATGTTACCAAGGGAATGGCCAATGAAGCTGTTTAGAGACAGGAATGATACATGTGAGTGATGGCAGAGAACTGCTGTGCAGGGATGGGTTAGAGTGAGAAGCACCAAGGTCTTAGCATCTTCTCCCAGGTACAGAGGACCTGACATAACAAATGGCCATTACAGATTCATTTTCATCCAGTTTTTGTGAATGGAAGCTCTAGGCAAATACACTGAGGTGCAGGAGAATTGTAGTGTTTACCTTGTATCTCCATTATTAGAGCAGTCCCCCTGAGGGCCTGGTCCTCAGGCCTCCTCTCAGCCCATCTGGGGACAGCATGGAGTCCTTTCTGAAATCCATGTATCTAAGCACTGTGCTCTCTTGGTCATTTACAAGATAAAATCCCAGTCTTAGCCTTTCCCACGAGGCCATTCATCATCTCAGCTCTGACAACTGCTCTGACTCCACTCATCCCCCCATTTCTCTCCACACCTGCTGAGCTGTCTGCTCTCACTTACACTGACTGGCCATTCTCCTCCATGCTCTGTCCAAACTTCCTGCTTCCTCTGACCCATGAATCCAATATGCCATTCAGATTTCAATTAATCATTTATCAAACCCTATAATATGACAGGTGTGCCATCTTAACTCTTCTCACAACATACATAAAACCAGCAAAATTAAGCTACAGATGTTAGCCTACACAATTGGATTGCCTGAACTGTGTCCTGTCATTGTCGCACAAATCCTTAATTGTGGGATAAATACATGATCTCATATCCCTGGAGACTAAAAAGAATAACTGACACCATGATCTTAGTCTTAGGTTCATGTATGTATATGTTAAAGCAGACAAGCTGCTTCCTTCAGTCTGAGTTATCTAAATATTTAGACCAAATTGTTGTCATATTTTGAGGATACAACTGGCACTGGCTGAAACCCTCTCATTAGTCAGGGTTCTAGCACATCCACTTCCTGATAGTCCAATTAAGACATAACAAAGTGGAGACTTAAAGATTTGAAAAGTGTGCAAAAAGTTGCACACTCAGTACATGGCAGTTCCTAAACTTTTGAAAATTCCAACATGAATTCAAACCTAGAGATAGTTATACTAATTTTAAGACTCTTAATTCTCAGCAGCAAAATATGTATTCGTAATGTCCATATTATGAAAGATATATGGGTGAGAAGCTAGACTTGCTACTCACTCACTCATTTGCTCCTACCTGAAAGTAATCAGATTCATTAAGAGCCCAAAAGTCAGTTATCACAGTGGCTTTAAAAAAGCATCTAAAGATTAATATATAGTAAACACTCAAAAACATGTCACCCATCTTCCCTCAGCATTAGCTACCTGTGGTTTCCTTTTACCTAATTCGGGATATGGAGAGGTTGTACAACTGGATGTGTTGAATGATCTCATCCAACAATCGATCTGTCATGGTATCAAAATCTGCAAATGTGTCCATCTGGAAAAAAGGAAAGGGGAAAGGTGTTGGGAGAAGTTGTGGCCTCTATATTAGAAATCCTCTTTCCTTAAACAGCATGACATGGAAAGCTGTGTAAGCATCTTGTCGGGGTTCTAGTTTGAGATGTAACTTCAAGACAAAGATCCACTGGGGCTCTAATGAAGAAACTGGGCATCTGCTAAAGGATCTTCAGTTGGGGGATAAGGTGAAAGATCTGAGTATATATATGTTCTTGGAATGTGGTACCTGCTGTCTCAACATGAAATCACTGTGTCTGCAGTGGAAGAAGCAGGGCCCTATGAAAGGAGACCACTTGCTCACTTTGTGTGAGCCAGATTCACACCAAGACATGCTTGACTCTTACATGTGATACCTCAGTAAACCCCCCCACTCTATCCCCTACAGACAAAGAGAAGCTTAAACCAGGATTCCTAAGTATAGATAAAAACTTAGACTCCTTTTCCCCAGGTGGCTGTATCTGCTACAGGGACTTTGGAAAACACAGAGTCAGGATATTTGACCAAAAGACTAAAAAAAGGGAGGTGGGTTAAAATAAATTATATGGTCTGTGCCTTTAAGAACTAGCCTCACAAAGAAAGGGGAGTGCTCCTTCCAACCTTCCTGCTGTGAGTGAGAGATTTGGAAGTGCCTCCCTGGAGGCTTGTCAACTTAGAATACACCTTACTTTTGCATTCTGTACCTAAAGTCTCCAGTGGCAGCTTTGGGGATGTGATCTAGGCACAAGAAGACCCTCACTCTATTGTCTCAAAAAGGGGGCCTTAGACAAAAATATCTCAATATAGATAGACCCAGGCCAGTTTCAAGTCCCCAGAAATGATGGCACCAGCCCCAGGAATTCAAAAGAACAAAGTCAGGATGTCTGATGGTAACCAATTAACCACAAGATGCCCCTCTCCAGAGATAACATGACCAGACCCCGGAGATGAGTTGTAAAACTCCTGACAGGGCAAACAGATAAGCTAGAATAAGATAAAGTCCAGGCCCTGGAAAAACTGGACCAATCAAGGATGGACCCATACTAACCCCTCTAAGGAATTTTGTGGGTTTTGCCTATAAATACTAACTTCCTCAAGAAAGAGTAACTCTTCCCTGCCTCACTTGAGATGGCTTGAGATGAGTTCCCTGTCATGACTTGCAGCAGAAGTAAACCTTGCTTTCGCATTCTGGTATGCTCGTCCTTGGTGGTCTCTCTGGGGGTTACAATCTGGGCACAACATTACGCTGGTTGGTTTTTATCATCTTAACACAAGATAGAGAGATCTGGGAGGAGTGAATCTCATTGAGAAAATGCTTCCGCAGACTGTCCTGTTGGCAAATCCTATAGTGCATTTTCTTAACTGACAACTGATGTGGGAGGGCCCAGCTAACTGTGGGCTGTGCTATCCCTGAGTATATATAATTAGGACATAATAAGAAAGCAGGCTAAGCAAGGTATGAGGAGCCGCACTGTTCTTCCAAGTTTCCTGCTTCCTGCCTTGAGTTCTTACCCCTTCTCCCCTCAATGATGGACTGTGATGGGGAATTGCAAGGGAAATAAACCCTTTCCTCCCCAAATTACATTTGGTTATGGTGTTTATCACAGCAATAGAAAGAAAGCCAGGCAAACTCTAAAGTCATTGCTTTTCACCCAGCATTGCCTTCAGGTTAGTCTATAAGTTCACGCACAGACATCATCTTTGAAAGATTTGGAAGCCATTCATGTCTTATGAAGGGTGACCAAATGATAAAGGGGCACAAAAAGAGTAAGGGGAAATCCCATGCATGTCTAAGTTCCTGAAGACATAATAGATTGATTTATATAATAAAATTTTAGGAATATGATTGGGAGCAACACAGACATGTATTTAGGGTTAATATCTATAAGCAAAAACATCCTTCATAAACAGTGCAGGAGCAACAGCATCTTGGGATGCCTGAACCTCCAGCCAAAAACTCTCACAAACATTCATTTCAGTGGTGAAGAAGCAAGTAAACCTGAAAAAAGGAGAAGCAAAGAGGTGAGTGACCTGAAGTACATGGTCACCCATCTTTCCATGAAGCCTGCAGCATGAAAGAGACAAAGCACAGTGGTGCTTTTGCTAGGCTTCATGAAATACAATCTTATCTGTAACTCTGCTTCCCCTGAGGCGGTGTCTGGGTTCTGTGGCTTCTGCAGCCTGAACCTGCATCTCCTTGGCCTTTAAAAGTGGAGAATGCAATGTGTTTCTTCTCATATGTTAAAGACTCTCTAAAATATTGTTAACACACCTAAGATTGGTGCTGCTATTATTATGACCTTCTAGTCCCCAAAAGCCTCTTTGCTCCTTCTGAAATTACTGTTTTATATATTCATTATTTTACAATTATTACTATAATGAAGACTTCACTCACTATGATGAAAAATGCTCTCAAAACCACAGCAAGGTACAAAAATAATACTGGGAACTCCACAGTCAGAGTACTTTGAAACAACTGTTGCATTCTGAACTCTTTATAAGACTTACAATATTTAAGCAGTGAAATAACACAGTAGAACTTAATCAGTATTGAGACAGATCTCTCCAGTTCAGTGACTTGCACAGAGATCTGGATCAAACAAGCTTGAGGAATCCATGTGGAACCCAGATGTCCTAGAACATATCCCAGAGTACATGGAGGGACACACAATGAAGGTTGGATTCCTGACTCGACCTCTGCTATTAACCACATCCATTGTCCCTGAAGAGAAAACTTCACTAGGGCAAAGTCAACACAAGGTCAAGGAACATTGATCAGTCATTATTCTACTGCCTTCTCTAAATGCCCTGGGACCATCTCCCTCAGGACATGGCCACATCTGAAACACATCCCTCAGGACATAAAAGATCTGGAATTTTGTGTGGTAGTTCTTCGGGTCAGAAGGAGGATTCTCTGCAGAAGCCCTAGGCTGTATGCTCTGTGCTGTAAATAATCAGTGCTATTGGTAAGCAATAGAGCTGCTTTGAAGGTGTAATAGGAAAATGGGACAGGTACCATGAAAATAGTGGGCCTTGGATGATGGTTCTCCTAACTATTCCTCCCTCACATAGTACTTTTTACTGCCTGCCATGTGCCCTGGAACATAGTGTCTAAAACAGGCAAAGAAATTAAGCACTAGCAGTTGAGGGGTAAGCAGGATCTTTTCAGCTTTTGATCATTTATTAATTTATGTGTGTGTGGAGGTCAAGGGACAACTTGGGAGGGTTGGTTCTTACTTTCTAGTATGTTGGCCTCAGGGATTGAAGTCAGGCTATTTAGGCTTGGCAGTGAACATCTTTACTCCAACTCACCTCACTAGCCTGACGTCTCAGCTCTGATGTCAGATGGTTCTCTGTATAACTACCACTTTGACTAATCATGAGACCTCTTGCTTATTAACAACTCTATTACCCCAAAGGATGCTTACGAGTCATTTCCCTCACTCTCTGAACATCCCAATCACTTGTTCATAGATTAACAGCCACAGCCTCAGGGTACCATGTCTGACTGTAAAACCAAAGTGACCTGACTTTGTAGGTTGCAGAGCTGTGGGTGACAATGCTCTGTCCCTAGTGTGACTACATGGATGCCCACATAGTTGGTAACCTAAGCCGTCATGCTCCTGATGTCCAATTAAGGCAAAAGGCTCTGATCACCTGATATATGCTAACTCCTATCATCATTTCATATTTTTTCCCTTAGACTCCCAAAGCAATACAGTAAGTTTCTTTTTCTCTCCAAACTACCCAAGCACTTGGATATTCTCCTTGAAGATGCCCCCTTCACTTCACGTGTATACATATCATCTTGGTGTTTTTAGGAGACTCCTTCAAATTCGATGTTCTCTCAACCCAACATCTCTGGCATCATACCTGATTCTTTTCAGACATTAGGAAGTCCAGTTTTCCACCGGGGAGCCCCAGTTCTATGAAAGTCTTCACCAGCCGTAGGTCTGCACTGTTCCCTGAAAATGACAGATAACCCCAGACCTATAATTAATCATAATATGTCACACGGGATTTCTTTCTCACCATTTCTCACATTACAATTGGATTTTCTCTTTATTTTAAAGCCCATCTTCCTCTTTTGCTGCCCTAGCCCATGCACACACACAGAGAAGGGGCTCTTTTAAATGGCCATTCTCTAATGAAATTCTTCCTTGACCTGTCACACTAGTTCTCTTTCTTTCCCAGAACACCATTCTCTCAATAGCTTTTTGAAAGGGCTGCCTAGTGGCTGAGATGGCACGGTGGGCAGTCACCTCTTAAATCACTTGCCTACCAATTGTAGATAACTGGGAAGAGATTAAATTATCAACTACAGTTCAGTTGTATAAATAGAAGAATTATCCCTAAGCCTATGGATAATGGATTAATAAGCTTGCAAGTGTCCAAGAGTAGCTGATAGGGTACTTGATAGGGCCAAGGAATGAAAGGTTTGTAATTCCAGGAAGTAACTAGTATGAGAAACACAAACAGCACACAGAATATGTTGTTGGCATAAAAAGTCACATGGAAAGTGGATTTGTTATATCAGAATAAATTAGGCATACATTTTATTCTGGCCATGGGCATTCTACTATATCTACATTAATATATGGCTTGTTCCTCTTCTGGGTCCCCATAGAGTTGAAAAAGACATGCAACCTGTTTCGATATTTTGGTAGTATGCTTTTCCATGTGAATCAACCCTGCAGGTTATGGTTTTGGAGAACTTCTGTACTGTAAGTGAAATTACAACTGATTTTTTTATCACTCTTTATAAATTTCCCCAAAGACTTAAAGGTGTATTAAAAAAACACATTATATTTGGAAGAATTTAAGATTTGAGACAAACCTTATGTGGATATTCCCAGATGATAACCATCCTGTAGGCTGTTATAGCATATGATCAAACCTGTAAGCTCAAGATCATTGGAAGCTTGTGTTTTTTTAGGGGAGACACATATTTCCTCTTGGGAAGTTAAATTTTATCACTCTATTTATGTCAATAAATAAATATTCTTTGGATTCACTCATGTTATAGCCTAAATTTCCCTAATGATATTTTAGGAGTGGTCTTTTAAAAAGTTGATACTATTTATATTAAACACAAAGACTTTAGGAAAAATATATCCTTCTTTCCTCAAGACACTAGGAGTAAAAAGTTTCTGGAACCTAAAGCTTCCTAGAACAGTTTTAGTTAATAATGTGCTAGACTGAGAACATTTACAACAAAATATGCTTTGGACTTTTAGGCACAATAGAGAGCCTGTGTAAATATTCATAACTTGTCTTAATGTACTCGTTCTTAATATAAATATGCTAGTAGGAAGATTTGAATAAACAGATTCTATAACACTCTGAAGAGGTTATACATGTGCACCTTGAACTACAGAAGTAATATTATGAAAGCTGTCTTTGTGATCACTTGTTTTTCTTTTGACCTGTGGCCCAAGGGATGCTATCATGGGTAGCTCAGCTCTCCGAGTCAGTACAATACTAGCAAATCATCTCTACCTCTGTCACACAATTCTGTTTCAATATGCACAAGGTAACAGATGTAAACCCTATTGCATAACCAGAGTTCTTACTTTAAAGATTTATTTTTATTTATGTGTATATCTAGGTGAGTGATTGACACAGGTACCCAGGTAGTCTCAGATTTGGAAAAAGGCATTTGATACCTTGGTGCTAGAGTTACAGGTTCTCATGACCCATTCATCATAGGTGCTGAGAACCAAACTCAGGTCCTCTGGAAGAGCAGCAAGTGCTCTTAACCATTGAGCCATTTCTTTGGGCACCCAGATTTCGCATTTTGCAAAGAATTTTAGAATTTTCAAAATGAGAGGTAGGAATCACCCTTTAATGACAACGAGCTAATGAATGTCAAGGTCATTCTTATCTTTATAAATCCTAGAACACGGTGGTGTCTAGTATACAAAAGGTTCTGTTAAGTGAGAGATGAACAAAATAGACAACAGAAAATAGTTGCGATCACTAACCTAGGCTCATTAAAATGCATCCTGTATTCCTTTTCCTTCTCTTCCTCTAGAACCATCCTATTGATTCATAAATTCCATTAATTCCGGCATTTCATTGAGGTATTCATTCTAACAGTACATTCACTTCTTCATTCATTTACTCCAGTCTCTCTTTCTCTCTTTTATTCAGAACACCCATTCCATTGATTATACCCTTCCTTCCTTCCTTCCTTCCTTCCTTCCTTCCTTCCTTCCTTCCTTCCTTCCTTCCTTCCATTGATTGGTAAAATTCATGTCAATGAATTAACTAATTAATTGTGTGTGTGTGTGTGTGTGTGTGTGTGTGTGTGTGTGTGTGTGTGCATGTGAGTGTATACGTATGATATATGTAAGTATCCTGGGCCACTCCATTTCCTTTGAAAGCAATGTTTTTCTGGTTGCTGTTTGGTTGCTTTTTAGAATGAATACCTGATCTAAATTACTTCATAGACATAAAATGAATGTAGGATAGTAATCTGAGGAGGAAACATCCTTAGAACTTACCATCCAGGCCATGGACACAGACCACCAGGTGAATCCCATCTTCCAAGTTTTCCTCCTCTTCCTCTGGTGGGAAATACGGTATATCAGAAGCTAGTACGGATAAGTCACTGTACAGAAATCCTTCAATCTTCAGTTCTTTTTTAAACTTTTCTTTGGCCTGATAAAAACTGGAGAATATACCAATTAATCACAAGCCATGCTGTGTATTCCATGTTGAGCAGGGAATGATTTGGGCTGATAGGTAGGAGTGCTGTGTATTCACAAACAAATTATCTTCTGAACATCAAATGCTGAATGAAACCTTAGGGGAATTGCTGGCGAGCAAAGCTTTGTTCTTAATAAGATAGAAAGGAAAACATCCCCAAGAAAACTGAAGAAGGAGTTTTTATTTTAAAAATTTCTATTTTAGACTGGTATTGAACAGGAGGCTGGGTAATGAGACTTATAAGACTCTGTGCAGTTACAGGACATGGCCATTTTTAAAATTATCTCCCAAGAGGGGAAGTTCCTTTCCTCTCATACAAGTCCAGCATGGTTTAGACTCCATCTGCTTTTTAAGAACTATTTTCCACCATTCCCAACAGCAATGCAGGTTTTGGGTTTTATTTTTTTCTTTGTTTTGTCTTGGTTTTATTTTCTAGTTAGTATCATAAACTACTTGGCTTGGCTTGGCTTGGCTCTGTTTCTTTGGGCCTTGGTATAGTCAGAATATCAGGATGTCAGAAATGACTTTTAAACCCAGCTAAGATGTTGTTTGTGTGGTTACTTGACAAGATGGTAGTTAACAACACTGATTCACAAATGAGATTGTGATGGTTACAATCTTGGTTTTAGCACTTCTGATAATAGCCAGTTATCTGAAATGCTTGGGGTTAGAAGATTTTTAGGTTTCAGTTGGGGTTGTTGTTGCTGTCTTTAAGATATATATATATATATATATATATATATATATGTGTGTGTGTGTGTGTGTGTGTGTGTGTGTGTGTGTGTGTGTACATGCTGAGATACCTGAGGATTGGACCACGTCTATACACAGAATTATGTTTTATTTTCTATATGGCCTAAGCACATTACCTGAAAGTAAGGTATTTTCATGTAATAGTTTTACTAAAGTTGAACATAAAACATTTTCATGGTGCAAAATTCTCCACACGTGTTGTCACACCAGCCTTATCTAAAAATATTTTAGATTTCAATAGCATGAAAATACAATTTAGATTTAGATTTCTTGTCCAGTAAAGGCAAGGCCCTAGTTTTTATCTAGAGCAGTACAAAACAGGTAAACTTTTAGATCTTAGCTAATGTACAATTGTGGATTTTCAAACTAGTGATGTTCCAGTGTTAGCATCAGCATCCTCATCTACTTCCCCTTGGTGAAGACATTCTCTCCTCTAAAGTGTTTCTTCTGGCCCTTTTCACTCTCCATACAGTCATTGCTTCCAGATAAAACCTTTGGCTCCACTGAGCACGCGGAAAGCATCCCACTTGCCCAGCACTGGCCTTGGTTGCTATTCCTGTCTGCTTGGTTTCCTGCAGGTAGAGCAGAGATGACTCTGACCTAGCTTTGGACAGTGTCTAGATGGACTTCTTGATTCGGTGACCAGTGTCATAGGACAGGCATTTAGTACTATTTATTACACAGAATGATCAATGTTTATCCGCCTGGACTTTTTCTTTATGTGAAAATCAATAACTATTAGTAGTTGGCAAGAGAAGAATGAGTATAAGGCACTCTGACAAAATACTTCTATTATGCACCCAATAAAATATATAGCTGATAATTGATGGTACAAAATGAACATAGCACAAGCCAATGATCACGCTATATATTCTAGGACTGAAAAAAGAGTAGTGGCTTTGAGAGGACCACAATCTTAAAGGGAACTCAGAAGGCAAATATGGTGGAGTCCTATTCCCACAAAGGTCCTAAAATCACCTTTTTCAAAATATGAATAGGTGAAGTTACACTAGTGTCATAAGAGAGTGGTATATCACAATAAAAATGGAACAAAATTTCCATATCTATCCATTAAGAATTTGGTTAATAAGTCATGGTACATCCATACAATAGACTATTATGGAGACATTAAAATACTGAATGAAAATGGACTTATATAGAAAGATATTTCTAATATTTTAAATGGAAAAAATAATTAAGAAGCATCATAATGATCCTGTTTTTATTAAAAATGAATATATTTAGGGGACAAATATCTGTATAGAAGATCTCTGTGTAAAAATTATGTCATGTTGTTATGTTGGGTGATGGGCTTATTTGTAATTCTTCTTTATATTACTTAGACATTCTGAATTGCATGATGTGTACACTATTGCATTATTTAAGTGAACAAAAATAATAAATACCTCCATGTTTAAATAGTGTGTATGAAACTGGGAAAACCTAAATGACTAAGGACCTGTGAGCTGTGAGCTATCCCACAAACTTACCTGAACATTCTTTCACTGACTTCTTCTTCCAATTTGCTGGAATAGGTAGAGACAACTCCAAAGGAGCCTAAAGGTTGATGAGTAATGGGGGCTAGGCTTTGTTTAGAAGAGTGTCCAGCCCTAGCAGGGGTCTCCTTGGGTACAGATGAGAAAGGGAGACATGTGGCAGTGCAAGACACAGACAAGTTAACGACCTCCACTGCCTTTAAGCTGTCCAGAGTAAAGGCCTCGGCGGAGTTCAAGTGGGACCCAGAGATGGAAGTTCCTGTCTTCAGCTCATGGTTTCGTGACACTTGGGAGGCAATCGTGTGAGTCACAGTGGGGCACACAGTGCCTGCTTCATGTTTGACCTCCAGAGAGGCAGTATGTCTTCTATTCAATGTCATGGTATCATTGACACTTGATGAACCATTTTGTACACCTGTAGAATTCAAGTTGACAGCTTCAACAGCTGGTACACTACTGATTTCAGGCACCCTGTGGTGAGACACAGCCCTGATGTCTAAGATGCTGTTGTTGGGGACTATGTGTTTACCCCCACTCAATCCTTTATGTCTGCCTTTTGTGGTTTCATCTGCTGCTCTATGAAAAGATCTGGTCCTAGAATTTTCAAGCACTATAGTACATGGTACTTTTAAGTTAAGACCTTTGGTTTCAACACTTGGTATGTTCTCAGCCATGTCATCCATATAGCAGGGTCCTTGAGGACAGGACTGATTCTCTTTACCTTTGGGGATGTCTATGTACCCAGGTCCCTGGGCTTTCTCAGAATCTAAAGCTATGTCTGCAAGGGAGTGTCCTGCCCTGACATCCTGGACCCTGGAGCCACCATAAGAATGAGAACTGTGTCCAGGTGAACTGGTATCCTTGCTAGAACTGTCCAGGTCTTCAGAAAATCCTCCCGTGCTCTTCATGGTGTCTGCACCTTCAGTGGTATCCTCAGGGCTGCTGATCTGGGGTGCAGAGACAGACTTGGTTAGCATAGTAAGTGCCAACTCCCGCTCCTCATCTTCGAAAGGCAAAGAGCTGATAGAGGTAAGAGAAGCCTGGATGCCACTGGGCAGACTAGTGTTGCTTTCTGTATGGCCACCCTCTAAAGAGTTCCTGTGGTGGGCATGCCTTCGAATCACCTGATGTAAAACTTCACGATCACTAGGTAGCTCCAGGGCCCTGCTTCGGGCCTCAGACCAGGCAACAGAACTTGGTTCACTTTCAATGCCTGAGTCAGATATGATAGAGGCTGACCTCTTGATGATGCCAGAGAGCACTGACAGATCTTCCTGCTCTTCTGAATGTTCCTGCAGGGAAGATGTGGTGTCCCAAGGTTCCATTGGAGCAGTATTCAATGGGTCACAAGGTTCAGCAGGGGTGAGCTTCAGGCTCAGCAGCATGGGCTTTCCCTCCTGGTCTGCTCCCCTTTCTAGAGTCTTGAATTCAATGGCAGCTTTTTGGTTTAAAGAGGTGGCATTATTCTGACTTATTCCTGCTACAGCTTTGCTTGGCAGAGTCTTAACAGGATCATAGCTGTCCTGAGAGCTCCCTTGATCATGCTGTACATTAAAGCCCTGCATGGGCTCAGCTCTAGGGTGGTTCTTATTGCTAGATTTCACATCAATGTAAGTCAATGCTGGGGCCTTCCCATCCTCAGGGCCTGGACTCCTCCTACGTATGTCCACATCTGAATCTCTCACAGCATCAGGCCTTGGACCAGTCCAACATGCATCTTCAGGCTTGAGTGCTTTGCTTTGGAATTCACCAATGGTCAAATACACCTGAGATTCTGAGCACACGTCTACAGGATTCCGTGTGGAGACATTCTCTTCCATCTCTGGACACCTAATAACATCCTCATCGGAGCCTAGCTGGGGTGCTTTTGTGGTCGATAATGGAAGGTTCTTCCTCAAAGATGATTTTTGATTTATAATATTCTTTTCTTTCCCTTTTAGATCCATTATTGCAGGACTTGTCAGTGGGACATCAAAATTAGGATAAACACTCAAATTATGCTCTATAACAAAAGAAGAAAATTGTATTGTAGTTTACAAATTAATATTACAAATTATTTAAATACCTGATTGTATGAAAACAATTCAGCAGTCCTGCATTACTGCTTTTTGAAGGGGATGACCTTCAGATTTTTTAAAGTTCTTAAGTTACAGAAAACGTTTCTTATTCAGGGGTGTACAGATAGTTTATGATAACCAGGTGACTCATGTTAAACTTCCAAATAGTTTATGTTGATGAGCTAAATGAAGATATGAACATGACAAAACCATGTGATCTGTGGGTTGGGACAAGGGAAAAGAAACAACTATCAGACCTGTGTGAAAAGATTACATCTATGTGAGGCCAGTGGCTCACATACTTTTATCCACATAAGAAAACATCAATCCTGTGGCTTAGATGAGCTCTTCAAATTTATAGATTGACAACAAAGATGGGTGCCCCAGGAGAAAAAAAAAGTTTTGAGAATACCCAAATATCTGACTAAGCTTCAACCTATATATCCCCTCTCTCTCTCTCCTCTCCCCATCTCTCTATGTCTCTGTCTCTCTCTGTTTCTCTCCCTCCCTCTCTCTCTTTCTTCCTCTCTTTCCATTTCTCTCCATCCCTTCCTCTCTCCCCTCCTGTTTTCATTTGGGGAGACATGGCTGTCCTTTCTTTGTAACAATAAGACTCTCATCATGAACACAGCTCCTTCCTGAGTTCTGTGAGTCATCCCAGAATATCATTAAATATGGCTGAATTACATGAAGCAAGAATTTGTAGCCAATGGCCAGAATTGCGGGCTGCCAGTTTGCCTGCAGAAGTGAAGTTTTGATTGAGAGATGTTAGTGCCTGCCTTATTATGTAAACTAATAAAAGAGAAAAGCAGCTAGAAAAAAAAGGCATTTATTTTCTCTCATCATACCACTTAGCTTTCATTTATTTGAGTACATTTAGCATTTTCTACCTGCAGATGTGATGAGGTCAATCATAAGCATAGTGTTTATAGAGCAAACTTTGGAGCCTGGAAGATTCAATCATGAACTCCAACATTGCCATTTGTGAGCACCCTAGGCAACCACGGTCTTCAGGAAGCTTTTTGACCTTCCTCAGCTGTGGGTGGGCAGATCCATAGGAACCCACAAGCCTTTCATCATTCATAAATCATTATATGAAATGATGTTATGCATGGGGTGAAGAGTTCTGCTTTCTGCAGAACAAACCCTGCAATCAGGTTATCTGTCCTATGTATTAGATAGTAAAACCACAGTGAAGCTTCATAAAGCTTCCATAATCACACGCATCTTCAGAGCCTGATGCAGAGAACCAAAGTATGACGTCTTATCTTATTTTTCTTTAACTATTTTCTCTCTCTTAAAACTTTGAATCCTCTCTTTCTTCTTCTCCTGTTCCCCACAACTGGCCAGTAACAAACATTCTCCATGTGCACCTATCATAATCAAAGATCTGAGATGTGACTCCTGACATCTCCCACATATGCCATATAAACAAGAGGATCTTGTATATGTGTTTTCTTTAAATTGTATAAATCCCTGCTAATAGACATCAAGACTGGTTCCATTCCCTGGCTATTGTAAATAGTGCAGCAATGAACATATATCTCTGTGGTAGGATTTAGAACTTATTGGGTACATGTCCAAGAGTATGCACATGTAGGTCATACAGTGACCTATGATCATCAAATAACTTTCAGTGCAATTTGTAATTAGACTGAGGAAGAAATGAATTTTCCCTTTACCTTGGTACATCCAATGAACCTGGGGATGGTTAGCAAGCATTTACTTTCCTCTGCCTGCAGCAAGACCAGTATATACCACTATACTCTTTTGAAAATTCCCCAGCATCCCTCCCACACACATGTAGTATTGTATGTCCTATGACCATGTGATGATCCACTTCCAAACTTTTGTCCCCCTAAAGGCAACAGCTTGTGTTTTATCCCTGTAGCCTGCAGGCTGACCTCCTGTCTAGGACATATTTGAAGAACTGTGTTCCTAAAAGAATCTAAGACAAGAACAGAAATCTAGCAAAACAAAGAATTTGTGGTCATTGATTGCTTGTATTGGCTTGAATATAATTACTACAATGATGTTTAGTTCCACCCAAGACTATACTAGCATGACTAGGTGATGGGTTGGCAAGAAAGAAAGTGGATATTTGTTATAAGAGTAAATGATATTTTGCCTTGATGGGATTTTCCAAATATTTGGAAGCACTCAAAGCTACAATTTGTCTTGTTAAAAAATCACGTGTGTGTGACAGAATCACATGCATGAAGAATGAAATTTATGCTCATTGAAATATTTATCATTATTTGCAATTAAAAATACTGAGAAACAATCTACACCTAACATCAGAGGTTGTTATAAGCAGTGCTTAATTTTTTCAACTGTTCACTTTTGCTGGAAATTATATAAAAGGTATGCATTAATGAAAACACAAGCATATAAACACACACATTCATGCATACACACACACACACACACACACACACACACACACACACCTTTAAAACTTAGCAGTTGGGTTGGAGATTTAGTATAATTCAGTATATATTTGACTTGTCATATACTTACTTGACACTAGATGTCAGAGTACAACTGGAAACCAAATGCATGTTTGCAAACTTGCTATGTCCCTACAAGTCACCTAGCTTCCAGGCTATAAAGCTGCAGATGCAGAATTTCTGAAATGTAGCCATTTTGGTCCACTGTATAAAATGACAAGCAAAGTAGCCTGGCTTAAAACACCTGAGGAAGATACCAGAGCAGAGCCTGGACTCTGGAGTTAAGGAGTTGACTTTGTTTGCTTATTGATACATGGTCTATCTATACCTCAGTTTCCCTCTCTGAAGCTGCATAAATTATTTAAAGAATTAAATAAATAAATAATTTTGTTAAACCACCAACATAGGGCTTGACATTTTCTAGTCATGGTTGTTGGGTTTCTATGGTCAAGTTACAGGGGAGAACAGAAAGGGAACATTCATTTATTCATGTCTAGTTATTTTGCAGTTGACCTCTGGGTTCACTGACAAACAGTAGAGCCATGCTGAACACTCTTATACAAATAATAGGCATAGCCTTGTTTTTTCTCTCCCTGAGATTTTCATTCATAACTTCTCCCAGTTACACAACCTACTTGCTCAAGTCCTTGACCTGCCTTCTGGCATTAAACAAGTGATTGAATTAGTGAGTGGCCACCTAGAATGACATAGTAACCATCAACCAACCAACAAAACAACTTCAATCACCACCACCACAAAATAGGCACTAACACAGTGTCATTAAAGTTAATAATAGATGATTATATTTAAAACTGTACACTTGAGAGAACAAAAGATCTTTACAAGTCTTTGATCACTCTAGGGTGTGTGTGTGTGTGTGTCTGTGTGTATGGGAGAGAGAGTGTGTATGTCTGAGTCTATGTACGTCTCATTCTATAGGTAATTCAATAGGTGAAAACACAGGTACCAGGGACATTTTGATCCAGAAGGGGCCAGGTAGGCATTAAGACTAACTCTCCCTTCCCCTTTAAAGAGAAAATACTACCACAATTTGCTGATACTCTTGTGAACAGTGACCATCAAAGCTTCAGGGGCACAATCTGTTAATGTACCAGTACTTCCATGGAAAGCCTAATTCTCGAGTCTTTTCAAAACAACAGAGAAAGACAAACCTGAGACAGGGCAGTCCACATATCTGTCCTCAAAGATAACAGGCAGGGTGTTCCAGTCACCGTCAATATCCAGGCACTCTGCGGGCAGTGGGGGCATGCTGGTGAGGTACTCCGAGTTCCGGATGTCCAGAGATAGCTGGCTGTGGGTCTGTATCCTGTGGAGCACACAGAAAAGTAATCAACTAAACAGGATTGGAAGTTTTCAATAGTCTTACCATTTTAACCCCAAGAAAGCTTTAACAGTGCTTTTAGCAGATGCTGGTAATGACCATCTGCCTGGCCTCCCATCCATCTAAGATATCCCTCAAAGTGGTAGTCTACTTTGCTGAGAAACTGCTCCAAGAGATAGTGTTGGTGCAAAGGATTGTGGTACTGGGTTATAGCTGACGGTGGAAGGTAATTAGCACCATGCTACTGAAAGACTAGCTAAGAAATGGCTGCAGATCTAAAATGTGTGCTTTGGAAGAGAAAGTTAAATTTACTCATCTATTACTCCAGCATCTTTAGCTTTTTAAACCACTTAGTCTGAGTTATATTGTGGTACAGCTGAGCCACCTTAAGTGTTTCTTGTTATTATGTTGACACTGACAGCTTTTATTAGTGTGAAAGCTACTATAATTCAGGCAGCATACTTTTTTTTCTCTGTAGAGGAACTTTCAAAGCTTATATTTATTCTTCCAGACCTAAACATCCTTTTACCATTAAGAACCTGATTCCAGAATCTGACGTAATTACTACTTTAACATTTAAAAGTTTGAAGGTGCATATGACTTTAATTCCTCCTCAGAAGAGAGTAAATTCATGTTATCTCATGAAAGAAAAGCTAAATAATGGTCTATAGTTTTATATATAAAAACTCAATCACTTTCCATTAAGGGAAGAGGAGAGCTTCACTTAAGGGACTGGAGATTTGGGAGAAGCCTGAGCGTGTGTCTGTCTGCCTGCCTGAGGCTTTTCATGTAGCAGGCAGAACTCTGGACACTCATCCCACTTCCCAGTCATGTGGACTATCTACCTCTATAAAATACTGTGTAACCCTACACAAGTTCAGAACAAACTCTGTAAGCATCACATCATCACCATCAACAGAAGTCCCAAGAGTTCAACATATACACATGTATGACTTATAGCATATACAGATTTCATATAATATGCATAAAGATATTAATTATGGCAATATATATTGGCTTTACAGATTAAATATGTTTATCTTATATTTTCTATTTTTAAGTTTCCCTTATATATGTGGGAGTTTTTTTCCTCCTATTCAAACTCTGGAAGTTGTTACAACTTTATACCTCTTTGAATATCTAATCATTTGGATATTATATATGGATGGATATTAAATATGATTTTGTCTCAGTAAGTTCAACACCCTATCCCACCTTGGGTCCCCTGAGTATATAAAGGTGTAGCCAGAAGACATTGGCTTGTAAGCTGGTGACAGGCCTGCCAGATCCACCTTCAGTGAGGAGAGGTACTATCTGACAGGCTGAGCCTCTAGATGGAATGTAGATGGGCAGGATGAACATCTGTTTTTCCGGAACCAGGATATCTTTGTTTTCTCTTCTCATTTGACATCATAATTCCAGGTTCTCCAACTTTTGGACCATGTGGCTCATAGCAGCACCCCAACATTCAGGTTTTCAGGCTGTCAGTCATAAAACTGGTCCCCCCTGGTCCCCTGGTCCCCTGTTCCCCTGGTCCCCTGGTCCCAAGATTTTCAGATGTGGCTGAGCCACACCCCTAGTCTCTCTGGTTCTCTGGCTTCCATATAGATTATAGTGGAGCTTGCAAGCCTGAACCTGAAGCTCACAGATTCACCTAAACTGACTGGTCAACAAACCCCAAGGATCTTCTACTGTCTCTTCTTCTGCAGTGTTAGTATTGCAAGTGCTTGCCATGACACCTTGCTTCTTACATGGGGGCTGGGGATTTGAAATCAGGTCTTCAGGTTTGCATGGAAACCATTTTCCTAACTGAGACATCTCTGCAGGCACTGGAGAATGATCTATAAATGTTACACAGTGCCATAGATGCTACATGTAACTAATGATTGCAAAGAGAGGGGAGAGTTAGTCTCCCTTAGAAATGAGCTTTTTAATTGGTTATTCCATTTGAAGTGATCAGCCCTACTGATACATTTATGTGTATATATTGAATACACACACATATATGTATAAGGAAAAGGAGACTATCAATTTGAGAGGGAATAAGGGGGAAATAGGAGTAGTTGGAGGGAGGAAAAAAGAAGACAGAAAGTGATAAAATAATATTTTGATTAAAATTAAATTTTCTATAAGTTAAACTGTTATAATAACAGTCCCTTTCAATATCCTATCCCAAGACTCATTCTGCTGATCGCACTTATTCACCTTTCCCATGATTTTTTCATTCTGAAATGAAATCTTTTTCTGTGTTCTTGGTGACATGGTTTATTTTGACAAAAATGTATTTCCTGTTGAGCAGAATCTCCCTGGTAACTTGTCTACTTGATGCTTGTGTGGATATTGATGGCCAATTGACTACTTAAAATGTTGTCCAATCTATTTGCTGTATAAGACATAATCACCTTGAAAACTTCAGCCTGACCTCCACTCCTATGTGAAGCTGCAGGGAGACCAGGATAGACAAATACATCAGTATCTACCCCTTTTAAGTTAATAGACACTTCTCATCACCATTTGGTCAACATATCTATTTATTCGTACAGAGAGATTTTGTCTGTTTGGTTCACCTCTAAATAGCCCACAACTAAAATAGTATCTGGAACACAGACAACAATACATACATACTTTCTGAAAGAAGGAATCTCCTTTTATATCTAAGAAACTAACTAAGAGAGGTTGAGGAATGCATGCCATTTTAGTAGAATCTATAAGTTAAAACATTTGAATGGAATTTGAAATGCTAAGGTCCAACTTCATTTTCAGGCTAATAATACATGAACTGAAATGATCATGAATCTGAGTTTTTTTTGTGGCGCACAAGATACCACATGATTTAGTCCTTCCTGCCCTTCCCTCTTACCTTCCTACTTCCCTCCATCCCGTTCTCCTCAAATTCATAACATTATTGGAAGTGCTTCTTGTTGAATAAACACCTTTTACAGTCTGAGGCACAATAACTCCAAATTAAGGTCAATTGTTACTTCCTCAGTTTATTTTTTTTCTCCCATCACTTTGTCAAAATCAGTCCTTGGACCACACACAATTTTCCATAAAGGACAGTTGATGCTGGCTTACAGGAGCAAGCTGCATATGTCTCTTTCTAGCTTTATACTTCCTGATAACTCATGAATGACCTGAAACACTACTGTGGGGAATTCACATGACAAAAATCAACAAAAGCTATATAGAACATAACATGGTTTGGGAAGTCTAAGAATTAGTGGTTAACTATTTATGAGAATACCAGCCACATCTCTTCTCTCTTCCTATGCCCTTATCTTCTTGCTTATTGTTTTTACGCTGGTAACTACCTGAACGAGTTAATTTATTAATTGCCTATTTGTCAGATAGAATGAGAAACCTACAAGACAGCATTCTTTACCACATCTACTTTCCACTGGGACAATTAATGTTCATTCATCAATCACCATTTACTTTAATGTCACCATTTACAGAGGAGGATCTGCAGCTTGCGCTCTGTCTACCTCGTGTGGATGTTCCCACTTTGTCTTTTCATCTTTTACTTTGGACCATTTTATGGGGAAGAAAACTAAGAGCAGTGTACAGGATGCCACGGTGATAAAAAATACCCTACCAAAAGCTGCTTAAGGGAAAAAGAATTGATTTGGATCACATGTCTAGTTTCTAGTCCATTGTCGCAGGGAAGTCACAGCAGCAGATAAAAGCAGCTGGTCAGTCAAAGTCACGATCAGGGAATGACAGATGCATGCTGCACTCAGCTTGCTTTCTCTACTCTTCTATAATCCAGGGATGCCCTGCCTGGGAAATGGTGTTACCTACAGTGGGCAGGTCATCCCACCTCCATCATTCTGATCAAGACAATCCCCATAGTCATTCCCTCAGGCCAACCCGATCCAGACAATCTGTTATTAGTATTCTCTTCCCAGGTGATTCTAAATTTGATAAAATTGACAAATACCAGTCATCACAACTAGCTCCAGTTGAGAATACATTGACAACAGAAAAAAAAAATTCTCAAGGAATCACTCATTGCACATCACCAGATACCCTGTGTTATGAGTACTTTGCATAGGCATCTAGAGGGCTGGCATTCCAACCAAACTGTGCCTGGAGAGTGTGATGCTTCGTTTTCATTGTTAACTTGATTGAGAATCACCTAGGAGACACACCTCTGGGTATGTCTGTGAGCACTTTTCCAAAGTGTAACTGAAGAGGAGAGATCCACTCTGAATGTGGTACCATCAATAGGCTGCGGTCCCAGACTGAATACTATGGATCAAAAGAGGAAGTGAGCTGAGTACATTTCTTGCTCTGCTTGACTTAGATGCCATGTGACCAGCCGTGATTTCCTGCCAGAATGACCCTTCAAACTGTGGGGTACCCTTCTTTAAGTAGATGTTCTTTGGTATTGTAATCCCAGTGATGAGACATATTAATATTAATATAGAGAGCAATGACCTCTGTGACTTTCACTTCCACATGTGTTCACACTCCCTGAGAACGAATGCATGCATTGCTGTACTTGTTGAAGACTCTAATGGTGTCCAAACAAGCTCTTTTCGTAAGCATATGCATTTTCCTTTCTATCCCACTCATTTTCATAACCTAAAAGCAAACACTAAATGTCGCCATAGTTTGCTTACAGAATAAAACCTGTGGAGGAAACAGGGTTATGTATACAAAGATGAAAGATTTCCAGGTCTGTCTTAGGCAACATGAAAATTCCACCAGCCTCTTTGATAGATGCACTGTGGCCTCTCAACCAGGATTCCCCTTACCATTAGGTTTTGAACCGATTATTCAAAATAAAATATTGGTGGCCAAAAGATTTTGGTGAGGTCTCTACCCATCTTCCCTAGAGAATCTAAGGGAAACCTCATCTCTTATCACCACTCAAACTTTCTTGATACTTTTCAATTCTTTCTGGAAGAAGGCAATCTTAAAAAGGCGTCATTCCTCCTGATTAGAGAGCTTGGGCTTAATTATTATGCTAAATAAATGTTTTAACTACTGCATCACTGAGCTTGTCTGACATAGCATGTGGCCACACCACCTGCTTCTATTCATTTTGCAGAGGACTCAGCACAGATGTCTGCAGAGACCTAGGAAGTCTTGATTTTTCTCTATAGAACCATAATGGCATGCAACAAAAGAAACCTTTGGCTATCGACCTTCCCTGGCACCTGCAGCTCCCGCCTCCCCAGTGTGTACTTTCTTTGCTGGCACAGGACTGTAGACAGAGTGTGCAGGAGGCAGCGGAGTGTCTGTTTCACCGCAGGAGATGAAAGGAAAGGGAAACGGGAACAAAGAAAGAGAGCTGAATGCCCTGGGTGGCCACTTTAACAGGGTGAAGTGGGTGTGCAATTTATTACTTACAGGTTTTCCTGAAAGGTCAAGACTGCAAGTTTTTGGTGCTCCATATAAAAGAAAGCTTCAGAAAACCTTCGGACCTGAGGGATGACAATGTAAACAGCTTAATTCCTCAAGTGGATATGACCTCCATTTTCTCAACTTGAGAGTCTGGAGATTAAGTGTTGTGTTTTCGTGGAAAGAAAACTGTGCCTGCATACAGAGGTCTGTCACAAGAGGCTTTCCACCCTCCACAGCTTCCCATGTCTTTAAAGCTCTTAGCCCAAGCAGTGTAGTATATGTTTATAAACTCACTCCTGTTCTGCTTTCATTTTTACACTCAAGTTTATTCTTTCAACTAGAATATGAGATTTTTCCAAACAGGCATTATAAATAAATGTACAACATGGAGAATTCCAAAAGCCAGAAGCATTTGCTATGTGCTTTGTAGACTCTGATCCTCAGACATTTATTTTTCTTGCCCAGGTGAGAAGATCCACATCACTCCATATATATTAATACCTATACATACATAGCCCAGATGAGGGCAACACCTTACATTTAAAAGTACTTCTTCCTAAGTACATTGAGACACTTGTAATAGTTAATTTTATAAGCTCAGATATCTTCAGACACAGATAAGAGAGATGTTTTCTGAATGACAGAATAGGGTGGAATAGCTAAGAGTGTTTTTGATGTCACAATGATCATTCACAGTTGAGTGAGACCATTGTTGAAATCCATAGATTGGCACAATGGCAAATCATGTTCCCCTCAATGAACCAACTCTTGCAAAATTTCTCAAGTATAAATGCATACAGTCAGAAAGTTTATAGCATTTTTATGATTTACCCTCAAAGCATGGTGTTCCTGGGTGAGATAAGTGGTCACTTCCGAGTGCAGAGTCACTGTCTCCAGGAATTGGGTCCACAGGGCCATCATATGGGAGGCCAGCCAGGCAAGATCCTTGCTGATCTGTTCAGCTATCTTCTCCGGGTTGTTCAGCATCTGCAAGGGTAAAACAGTGTCATTCAAAGACCTAGCTCTATTGTGTTGCTCCAGCCTTCCTCTTGGGATCTTTACCAAATGCTCTGTTCTTTATCCTTTCCCTCACATGCCATAAACAATGTGGTATTATAATACATGTCTCATGTTATATAATGTAGAATTGTGTTATCCTGTCCCTTTGAATATGGGAGCTAAGAGAGACAGCAATAAGAATAAACTATTTGGCAGTTCCTGTTTCTAGATTAATATTCAGAGTCCATGGTTTCATGTAAGTTTAGCCAGTGTCTATACTGAGTTGATGTCTTCCCTCTCCATGCATGCTTTAAGTGCGAGTTATTTCTAGATTTCCAGGAATATCTTGTCTAGTATGTCCTTTCTCCTTTTATAAATAGTTGCTACCCATTTTCAACTCTCTACCCTAAACTTCTAAACTCATCACCTCAGAACCTAGCTTTCCCAAATATTAGCATCCTAGTCTGGGATTCCTTCAGCATGTCCTTTGCACTACTGCACCATAGGAGGATCAGCCATAGCATCCTCCTGTGGACTCACAAACCCAGAGAAGAGATTCTTGTACTAGAATCTACTCTGTATTTCATTAAACTCTGAACTCAGTGATTTATAATCACAATGGCTCCCACTTACTAAGACTGATCATTTTATACATGCTTCACATTCAATTTATGCAATCATCTTTTAGGTAGACTATTAGAACTATCCTTTCACAGGAAGTAAAATGGCAGTGATTTAATAGAACATCCAATTTTCACCCAGCTAGGATTTAACTGAAGGACTCTCTAACCATGAAACCACATGCTCCACCTCAGTAGCTATTTAAAACTGTCTTAGGAGAAAAGATACTCCTTATAATCCTAGAGTACTTAACTAGCCAGGTCACTAGGCAGCCTCTCTGTGTCTATAACCCACATTATCTTCTTAACTATCGCTTAACCAAGCCACTTCTTAAGGAGGATTCTAGCATGCCTTAATTACAATGTAAGTCAGTCAGACTACAGTGGGGCCTGAAACGTTTGGAGAAGACTCTTGATGAGAACATGTGGGAAAGGTAACTGGTTTAGAATGGGGAGGACCATATTCTAAGGGAGAAATTTGCATTACGGGAAGGTGAAAAGATCAAATACTCCTGGGAAGAGTGACAAGAAGCCTGCCCACTGAGCTCCAGGTTTCAACAAGACACAGCAATTACTGAGCATCTTCCTTGTCTTGCTCACATGTTTGGCAGAAGAAGGACACATGATGAGTAAGAGACGGCCCCTGTCTTTGTAATGGCAGAGATAGGAATGTATACCAGAGAGAGTGGTGTAGGGCTTTCACAAAGGCACAGCCATGCAAATCCAATCTCTTTCCCTCCTTTGTCCTGTGCCCCAGTTTCCTCTCTGAAGGCACAAAGCAAACAACTGCTTCCAGACACAGTTTTGTAATTGTTATTGGACGGAGGAGGTTTGATGCTGGATGAAGGCAGACAGGTGAAGTGGGGTATCTAAGAGTAAGAGAGCAGCAACAGAGATGTTTGCTGGATGGTGAGGCTCTTAATACTCAGAGATTCTTGCTTTATTATTATGACTAGCTTCCAGATGCAAGGCTCCAGTTAAACACAGCCTCTTCTAAGAGATGCATTTACCCTTTGATAACCATTGACGACTCAGTCCCGTACAGCATCATAAGTGGTCAGAGACAGAGAAGGAAGGGTGCAGGGGAATAGACCTCAGAGACAAGTAGCATCACTGGAAAAACTCCAGACTGGAAAGTGGGGCTTTTGAATTCAGTCTAAACAGCTCATATTTGGATTCTTCTACCAGAATCTTCACTAATGACAGCCAATCTACTGCATCAACACTCAGCACTGTTTTGCTCCTGGAAATAATCCCTACCTTACCCAAGATGACCATGCCTCCTACCTGATGTACAATCATTGAACCAGTCATGCTGACCTACCTATAGCAGCATGCATAGGTCTTTATATTTGTAATACCAGACCATTGTTCAGGCAGCATCCTCTCTTTGAAATGCCTTTTCCTCTTCTCTCATCTTCTGATTTCCTTTCATTACCTCTTCATCACTTTGGCATGGTCTATCATCAACCAGGGAATGACTAAGGAGTCGATTCTATTTCCCCTTATTTATGACACTACTTTATGCTACCAGTCTAAGGCTCACCACTCTCTCTTCCTCTTCTTGAACAGGTGTCCTTGACCCTACAGACCTTTCCCCATGGTCCCTCTAACAAGTGTCACTTGCTTTGCTGCCACTGTCTCAATTTGTCTGCATTGGGAATTTAACCTCTCAGCATCCCTACTTCTAGTACAGTAGCTAATGGACACTCTGAACTCAACAACACTTTATTGCAGTAATAGGTGGATGAGCATCCTTGAGAGATGCTCTATGCCTCAATCATGTATCCCTGACTTGCTTGGCTTCTGGTTCTGCCCTTCAAGCATCTCTCTCCACCACAATGGCACTGACAGATGCAGCATGAATTCTGAGCTCAACTACCAGAGGTGAAGAGGGAAAAAAGAAAGATATTCATTAAATGAGTCTTTGGGAGAATTATTTTCTCCCTAGTTGATTAAAAGCAGCTTCATATGAGGTTACAGAGGTTTCTAATTAAGCCACAGGAAGACTTTCCCAGCATCACCAACACCTGGAATTGTGTAATTACACGTGACAGGTGTGGGCGGCTTTCTGCAGCAGGTGAGGTGGGGTCCTTACCCGCTAACAAGCTAGCAGTCTTAGCCCTCTGCTTTCACAGGTGAGTTCTCTTGTGCAAGACTCACCTACCTACCTTGACCACCCCCAAAGCCTTGATCATCTGGGCTCTAACCACATTCACTCCTCTGCTCCCTTTATCTGTTACTCCATGCTCATTTGTGCTATAGGCTGTGCTATATTGCAGGAAGCCAAATAAAACTATAAATACATATAAATATAAATACACCCTGGAAGAAGCATTCCATTCCCTGATAGCTACATACTTAGCTATAATACACCTACAGAGTACTGTAAAAGGTATGTATCCTAGGAGTCATGTAGGAGCCATGGTAACTTGCTGATGAAGTGATACCTACATTCTGTCTTCCAGGTAATCATCTTTCTTCCTGTTTCCTGAATAAACTTGGCTCTTTCAGAATGTTTCTCCATCTCAGCTTCATGTGACAATCACTGGGAGGTTCGGGTCTGTCCATGTTTCCACAGAAGGCTGCATCCATCTCAGAATCTCTGAGGTGCAGTCCAGATATTAGAACTTTAAAATGCCTCCCAGATCATCCTAATGCAAACCCTGGTCCTAACCCCCTTGTTAGACTATGTATGACCCCTGCCTTTGTGCATTGTTTGAATACAAAGTGAACCTCAAAAGTTCATGTGTTTTGCCCCAGAAGTTGTTGAAACACATGAAGTGTAAGACGCCTACAGCATCTGATGGACAGATGAAAGGACATCATTGTGTGGCATTGTCATCCTTGGTAAGCAATCAGACCCACATAACGTGGGTGATTAAGACCACTAGAGCTTAAACAAGGTCAGAGTCCAGACAGTGTGGATGGCCATACTTATTGCTCTCTGTGTGAGATGTTCTGTGATGCAAGAAGGAAATTCACAAAGTCTCTGCCACACAGGGGCATGCAGGCACAAGAGAGACCCCAGAAAACATAGCAATCCTGAGCCCCCACTACCCCTGGCAGCCTCTCTATAATGCAAGTTTTACTGTACTATGAAGACCTAGAGCTGGACTCCCAAGGGACTGGCTAGACAAGGGAATAGGAGATAACAGTAACTGTAGCAGAAGGCACGTTACTGTTTTGAGCAAGACAATAGAGACAGAAGTCCTAAATGCACACTCAATCTAGTCTTCCATTCATTATTTGAGAATGAGTGGAATGGAATGGTGTGTGTGTGTGTGTGTGTGTGTGTGTGTGTGTGTGTGTGTGTGTGTGTCCATTATGGGGCCCTAACACTTTCTCTGCCTCTTTGAACTCAAGGTCAGTGCTTCCTTAGCAGGGACTTGGGAAGTCATCTTGCTCATCTGGCCCATCTAGACCAGGGCATCCTTTCAGATAATCAACTTTCTAAGGTTGCTTCCTGGCTTAAAGCAAGGTCCTTCCAAACCCTCTATGATGGTTAACTTTAATTATCAACTTGGTGACATCACTTTGGAGACTAACCTCTGGATATGCCTGTCAGGGATTATCTTGATTATGTAAATTGAGTTGGAAAGACACCCCACCTACTGTGGGTGACACCATTCCCTGGGATAGGATTCTAGATTGTACAAAAGGAGACAGTGAACTCATAACCAGCATTCATTGCCCTCTGTTTCTTGATCTCGAGGCCCTACTGTTGTGACTTCCCACAGTAATGACCAACCTCCTGGAGATGCAGACCAAAATAAATACTTTCTCCTGTAAGTCGCTCTTTATGGGCAATTTATTGGAGTAACAGGAAAAACAGCTTAGACCCACCTCTGCAACAGGTCTAACCAACACAGAAAAAGCAAAACCCACGTCTCACATTCTTTCTATGTCCTTTCTTTGGATAATTTCCAATAGAAAGGGGCAGCTCCAGGAACAACTACTGGATAATTGAGTAATTCCCAAAAGTTCATAGGGATAAATAGCAGACAGCCTTTTATATCTTAGAAAAATCTTGTGTTGCTGTCCTGAAAAAAAAAAAGAAAGAAAAGAAAAACCTAACAACCAGGCTTACTTCTTACTTACTAAGAGCTGCTTAGCAAGGGTCAGAAGACCCTTTAGTGCCTTGGTAAAGGGCATGCTACCCTGTTTGGTTAGTTTGTTCTGGGAAGACCCTCAGCATCTCCCCAGCATGGGCCCCCATCCAGATTTCCAGTCTACCATTTATATCTGGCTTCCATGTTCTCCATGCCACAGTGAAGCTGGGATGCATGTTCATGCTCATGTGTGACCTGGACTTCACACTGCTATTACCTTTACTGAGAGGAGTACCCTTCCCTCCCAGGTATCCGACACTCTCCTCCTGTTCCTATTGGCACCTTAACTTCCCTGCCAAAGCCAGGACCTCCCTCCTCCCTGCTTTGCTGCCCTTTGCTTATACTCCCTGACTCTACTCTGGCCATGTGGGCAGAACCTGACCTATCTCAGAACAAACCAATTTCTCACTAGGCATTAAGCGCTGGGTGGTCTCTTCCTCGGTTGTACAGAGGGAATTTTTGAGGGGCCAGTGGTCAGCACAAAACAGGTGTCTTTTAAACTTTTCTAAGTTTCTCACACCAAATAAAGATGCTTCAGGAGCATTCTGCTGCTATAGACATCTGGGTTTTCCAATGTCTTCATCACCTGAAAACATCCAACTTCACCATGAACAGCAAGGCTTGAGAGAAATACATTCACTGCAGCTCATCATTTGCCACGAGGTGGCGCTGTTTCATCTCTAACCAAATCCCAGCTCTGATTTGGGAGGGTAACTGAATACCCAGCAATATTTCTACCACTTAATCTTCAGGCCAGTCAATCCATTAAACAAATTAAGGAGCAGAAAAAGGCCCAACCCCTCCACCCTTGATACCTTGCACTCCATCACTTCTTAGGTTTCTTACAAAATAAAATTCTGCAACAGATTGTGGTTACAAAATAAATCCTGTAGCAGCAAAAGAACTACAGGATTCAGTGGGACACACACACACGCTTGTTTGTGCGCGCGCACACACATACACACAAACACACATACACACACAAGACATGAAATCAGAACAGGAACTTGGGAAGAGAATTTCAGCCAGAGAAAGAGGGGGACATGAAAGAGGAAGGACAGTAGAGGATAAAATGAATAAAATTAATTATATGCACATGTGAGACTGTCAGAGAACTAAAAAAAGCAAAATCACGAAAACCTTCCCACAATCTGGGACTCTGCTGGAAGGGGTGGAGGTGAGCAGTGTTCCTTAGGAAATGCGTCTGATGAAGTTACTGACAGCTCTGTCCTTCAAATCTCTCACCTTGATCACTGTAGTCACCAGAGGTGACCAAATTGTCAAAGATGAAGGTGTCCCAGGGACCAAGGCCACTACTATCAAGTGGAGGTTGCCACTGCACCCTTGTCAAGTTTGGTAATCTCATCCAATGGCTGCAAGTAGCTCAGAGACGTTAAGGAAGCCCCACTTCTTAGTATCCACTGGTCATTATGAATGTGTGTGAGCACTTCCTGTCCTGTCCCTGGATGCTGAGAGGTTGCTCTGGGCACCTCGTTGTTGTAACTATGATAAAAGCCTAGTCACACTTTCCACCTCGAGTTTCCTCCTGGAGATCACAAGGTGCACTTCAGTCTTCAGTTCCTGGCAAGGAACACCTGAAACCCCTAAACACTCCATAGAGATGGGAGTGTGTGCAGCTTTTGTTACTAAATTCTAACAAAGTTATGAAATGGCTTTAACTGACCGCTAACCAGCCATAGTGTAGAGGCTGCTGCCAGAAAAACAAACAAACAAAAAACAATTCATGGTTAGGAGGTGAGAACTGTCCCCAGATTTCAAGGAAAGAAGTGTTTGGGGATTGAATGAATCATCAATGCCAAGGACCTAATCACGTCTCTATACTGGAGCCTCCATATATGGAAAATTAGTACTGCCATTTCTACCAAAGGATTATACAAAACAAAGTTCATTAAAAATTGTAAAGAACCCATTTGGCAGAAATTCAGAGTTTTCTCCTCCAGGGCCAGCACTTCCTGAGATCAAAATACTTGTCCAGGGTTTCATCGTCTTCTTGGGATGGCTCTTTGCCTGTCACCACTCAGGTTTGACTTACATAGCCATGGAAGAGTGTGAGACCAAGCTCTGCCAATTCAGTGACAAAGAGGACCTTTGCATTAGGAATAATAACCCGGTAGGACCTCACTGAGTGTGGATATGCACCTACTTGATGTGTCCGGGATATTCACCCTTCAGTAGAAATGAAATGTTTTGCCTTACTGGAGTAAGTTGGACTATGTGATAATTTTCTTGGGGCCCTAGATCTGCTTCTAATGTATAGAAACCTTTAAAGTCAGGGATGGGAGAGTTCCCAGGCTGGTGAATGTACCCACCTGCCTGAAGTTGGTATAGTCAACTCAAGAAACAGAAGCTCCACTCTTGCCCTCCTTTTCAGACTTTGACCTAGGCATCCTTTATCTAGCTGTTAACTTGTGCCCTTTGTAATATCCTTTATAGCAGACTGGCAATGATTAGAAAAGTGTACCCTGAGTTCTCTAAGCCATTAAAAGAAACTGTCTAACTTGAAAAGCTTAGGATTGCAACCTCCATTGGGTAGCTGATTGGTCAAAGTAGGAGAGTCCCAGAAATTGCAATGTTGCAAGACTGGGCCTTTAACCTATGGGACCTGTTTTGGATTCTAGGCAGACACTGTTCAAATTAAACTACATGGTTGGGCATGCAGGTAGTATTAAAGAATTGATGGAGATGAGACAATTCCTCATGCATAGATGTTGGAAGTTCATTTTTTTATACATGCCCCAAAGGATGTGCCATCCTCCGACTTCATGACTCCTACTGACTTGAAGAATTCATCCTGGCACCATGATGAATGGGGCATTCAGGCTTCTTGATCATTAGCTTTGGCTTGCTCCCTGGTGTTTCAGTCAAACTCCTCCTTGCAGAGGTGAGACTTCTGCTCCCTCCTGTAGACCTGGACCAGGGACCCTCCCAGTTCTGATCCCTATTATGGCCCTAGTGCAAAAGCACAAGGCTTTGGTATTCGCTCAATCCTTGATTTCATATTTAGCTTCTTTGTTAGAGCCCACTAAGATCTTGCTTCATCCTGAAAAGAATTACTGACACACTACCTGGGTTCTGCCACCTTGTATAGTATCTCTGTCCAGATACGATTCTGTTCATGGATTGATTATTCATCAGTGAAAGCCCAAGAGTGAATATAGACTCCTTCACTAACCTTGTGATCCAGGGGGTGAGAATCACTGTAAGTCCCCAGAGCTGACCCAGGGGCTCATAAGTAATGGAAACTTTAAAATTCTGGCTGAAATGAATCAAATTTCACCTCTTCAACGGGTACCATAGTTCCTAAGGAGACATTCATGAAAATGTCAAAGAGAAAGAGGGGAGGGGTTGACTGACTACACTGCCTTCCAAGAACTCATACAGTGCCAGAAACTGCTTGGTGAAGGAGAAATGCCCAGCCAGAGTGACACGTGATTGTGACAAAAATCCTGAAGTTAGCATTATCTGCATTCTGTGTCCTGAACCAGGCCCCATGTGCAAAGGTCAAAACTCTGCTTCTATTTCATGTCACCAGTTTTGTCTCTTATGGTAGCTTTGTGCTGGGGAGTGTCCCATGGGGACTTGTGGCTCTGCTAGCCTTGTGTCCCTGGTAAAAGAACTCAGCTCTGTGAGCTGGTTCCCAATCCCTCCTCCACAAAACATAATAAGATTTCTTATTTTACAGACTGTTGTATTGATTAAATGAGGAAGTTTCACGTAGTACATATCACACATCAGCCGGTAACTGGCAGGCATGTGCCATGCTTTTCGCTATAAGAAAGAGAGACCAACAAATACCAGATGCATTTCTTTGCCTCTGTCTGTGGTGTTTATGTCTTTGCATGTGGATAGGTAGATGCATATGTGCACAGGTGCCCATGCATGTTTATGCTTATAGAGACCCAAAGTTGACATTGGGTAACTTTCTCGGTGGCTATCACTTTTTATTTATCGAGACAGTCTCTTGCTGAACCCTGAGCATGACAACTCTGACTTGTCTAGCTAGTCTGCTTGCCCCTGGGATACTGTATTACAGGCAGCCACCAGGTCTGGCCGTCCCATTCTTTCTTATGAGTTCTGGAGATCTGAAGTGTAGTCTTCATGCTTGGGTGGCAAAGGGCCTTTATCCTCTGAGCCATCTCCTCAGCCCCTGTTTCTGCTTTATGGATAGGAAAACCAAAATTCATAAAGATTAAACAACTCATCAATACTGTGGTACAAAGGTCTCTTTTGAGGCCAGCTTCTGGTGATGAATAGCTCTGTCACTCACCAAGTCAATCAGCTTCCTTCAAACATTAAATTCCTCTCCTATTGAAAGGACAGTGGTCCTAGCCCACATTAATGAAGTATGGTTGCCCCACTCTACAGTGCCCCGGGGATAATAAATCACAGCAGGTGACTCAAACAGATGCACATTCATACTGCCCCCACTCTCCAAGGGCACAACCGTTGTTTGCTTTATAAAGTTGAAACCAAGTCTCCAATATGAAATTACTATTTTTTTTTCCTTTTGCAAGTTTCTGGAGTCATTTTCCTTCCCTGACTATAGCCTAAAAACCAAGAATAAAATGTTCTTTCTTTTGAAGCCCAGTGAATAAGTCCTCTTAATCACCAGGTTGTAGTTTAGTGTTCACTGTTCACTGGTTACAGGGGTCACGGAGGTAAACATGTTAATCACTAGCTTCATTTCAAACAGTGCCCTGACCTATGGTCCATTTGGGATGATTATGTTTTTAGGGACCCAGAGGTAGCTTTGTCTTACTTAAATAGGTTGAAGCCATCAACCCCTTCACTTGAATGTGCATAGTGTTGGATGCATAACCTTTGGACATCTGCAAACCCCACCTACATGCAATGCTAAGACTGCCATTCCTGAACCTTCTGCCTATGAACAACCATTAAGTTCCTTGTACATGTTCAAAATATGATTAGTTTTCCTCATTGTCAGTCATCTTGTCCAACATGGCCTCGGACACCTTCATTGTTTATGCCACAAAACCTTCCAGGTCTTTCCCCAGGGAGGCAGATTGGAGGCCAGGCCTATCCCCATACTTTGGTACCTGTGAAATCACTTTTTCTCATTGGGAAAAAAACTGTGACTTCAGTAACTGGCATGCTGTGTGGCAGGCAAAACTAGCTCGGTCCAGTATTGTAAGTACTTCCATCTGTTCAGACTCAGGGTCAGCGCGGGAATTACCTGTAACTCTGAGCACAGCTGAGAGAGTGTTTCTTCAACAGCGAGGGCCTCTAGAAGGAAGAACAAGGACCACACAATTAAACAGACCCCATGGAAATGCTGCACTTGCTAAGGAAAGGAGAGGCCTAAATGCCATGCTCTAAATTGTAAAGTCAGAGAAAGGGAGACAAAGGCAACTCCAGAGGACTCTGCTAGTCAGACATTGGAGAGAATCAACCTCATTTGACACCACAGATTGAGTACAAGAGGAAATCCACTACTGGGTGGAATTATAAGGTACAATTGAATTGACCCCTTAGTGTGTCTAGCACTTTGTGTGCCCTAAATGAGTCTGTATTTTTTTATGCTTTTCCAGATGCATGTATGCATGCAGAGAGAGAGAGAGAGAGAGAGAGAGAGAGAGAGAGAGAGAGAGAGAGAGAAGGGA